GACCTTCTGTAGGCACCTCGGCCGGAGCGGCGCCGCGGCGCTTAGTCTGCCCCGGGGCGTCAGGTGTTTCGGGGTGCGCATCGCGCCGACCGGAGAGAAGGTCACGCACACCGGCCAGGTAACCGGTGCGTCGAGGATCCCCGGTACTTCCGCCGTCCTCAGTGCCCTAGGTCCTCCGTGTCCCCCGGTTCCTGGTCCCTGAGAGGGACCGCGGAGAACCGGCGGCGGAGTACCGTGCGGGTCCCCCGGGTCCCCCGTGTGACCGAAGCACGGTCGAGCTGCGCTTCTGTCGCCCGCACCAAGCGGCGTGGATGAAAACGGGTGCCGCGGTGCTGGGGGTGGCGGAGCGTTTGAAATTCTGTGGGAGTGTCCTTGAACTCCGAAATGAAGCTGATGCCGGTGTAGCTGTGGATCCCTGCGGGGCGGCTGCCCGGTGGACTCCAGACGACCGATTGCTTCCGTGGCTCGAGTCTCGTCATGTTTGTGTGATATTAAATAGTGCATTTAAATAACTTGAGCGTCCGCTGTAGCCCAAACCACAAACCCAGCCTTAGACTATAATCATACGATGAGAGAGTGAGTGCCCGTGTTATTAAAGTGTTACCAGCAGATTAGAGGGGAGGTAAGCATCGGCCCCCTGAGAAGGAGGGGTGCGCCTCTGCCCGAATCTGCCGCCTCTGCGCTCCCCCCGCAGCCTTCCAGCTCACATTCTGCTCATTGTCATCTTAGGGGTCCCGCTGAGAAATGTCCCTGGTTGCGCAGCTGTACCATGCCCCGCATGTGTCTGATCGTGAATGGTGTAAATGTTGAGAAAAACACTTTTCTGTAATGTTTACGATTAACTGACCTCTTTCAGAATTAGGCTGTAAAAATCACATATGATCTTTTCCCCCCCAGGTTTATGATGATAAAGACTACAGGAAAATTCGATTTGTAGGTCGTCAGAAAGAGGTAAGTAAAAAAAAAAAAAATCTAAGAGAGGTAAGCTCTCATAAAACCTTTATGTAATCGACAAAATATAAAAATTAATATGTATGATTTAAACAGTTTCCCCCCAATTTGTGACACCCTAGAACAGTGGTTCTCAACCTTCTGGCGCTTTAAATACAGTTCCTCATGTTGTGACACAACCATAAAATTATTTTCGTTGCTACTTCATAACTGTAATGTTGCTACTGTTATGAGTTGTAATGTAAATATCTGATATGCAGGATGGTCTTAGGCGACCCCTGTGAAAGGGTCGTTCGACCGCCAAAGGGGTCGAAACCCACAGGTTGAGAACCGCTGCCCTAGAAGCTCTGGAATTCTGCGTTTTTCTAAATGTTAAATGTGTCTGTTTCTGCTGTTTCTGTTTTGTTTCCCTTGGCCCCCCCCCCCCCCCCAGTATGTAACAACATTTAGTAAGTGTAGTTCTTTTTTTATATATAAATGGAGTGGTCTTTTCCTTTATTTCTGGGCCTTATACTCCTGAGACCCTCAGATTAAAGTAAGTTTTGTCCTCCATAATCACTTGGAGTCAGTCTGTTGATTCTTGTTAAGCCTCAGCTTTCTCTGAGTTGTGTTTCTCCTTCCCTTTGGTCTTGGTTACATTGTCCATTCCCAAAGTCTGCTCTTCTACTTCCATCCTGCTTTGTGGGTGTCATAAAGTGCTTTGCAGGGGCAGTGTGGTGGAGATGGAGTTCAGAGCGCTGGGTGGGGCCCTTCAGAGCAGATCAGTCCCGGAGTGGACCCTGCAGCCTGGCCCCCAGCTTCCTATCGCGTGCCTCCTGATGCTTTCGCAGGCACCTGGGTCTGCCACGGACTTTCTCTGCTGGGATTTCTCTTGTGGCCCTGGTTTCTGATTGCCATAGCAGAGGGCAACAGGGAGCAATTTAAAAACAAAGCCAGACAAGCAAAATCAGAGCTTTTGAAGGCAATAACGTGCTGCCAGTGTTGCCTATTCCTTTACCGCTCTCCCAGCTCGGGGTCTCTGGGGCCTTTTCCTGCTTGGGATCATCCTCAAGTTGTGAAGGTGCACAGCACACCTGTGAAAGATGAGTTGGCATTCTGCTGTGGCTTTTGCTCTTATGACAAAAATTTGGTGTTTAATAATATTTTAAAATTGTTTTGGTTTTCAAGAGACATTATTGTTTTAGAAGACTGTAGGTACTAGTATCCTGGGAAATTGCACAGAAAGTACAGTTTCCATATGCCCCGTCTTCCCCTCACACAGTTCCCTTGTGCTACGTTTTTTACAAGTGACTGATTTAAACACTGGGTGAGAATTGATATATTAGTATCAACTCAAGCCCATAGTTTACATTAGGGTTTACTCTTTGCTGTACATTCTGTGGGTCTTGACAAATGTGTAATCTCTTGTATCTACCATTACAGTATCATACAGAGTAGTTTTATTACCCAGAAAGCGTTCTGTGTCCATCTCCTTATCCTTGCTTTTGAGCATTTTCTCCAAACTTACTTAGTTTAAAAATTAATTTGGATGGAAACTTCAGTTTTTACTGTGTATATGCGTGTGTGCACACGTATGTTTAGCTAATTATAATTACTTGTATTAGTGTTAAAAACACCTGATATTCTAAATAATTGAACTGGGGCTTTTAGTTTATTTTAAACTTGTAAGTTTCCATTAATTAGGTCAAAATTTTACAAAACATTGATTATTCAACTGAGTTATTATTTCCTCTTTGATCTATTTTTGATATTATTTTGCAGACTTATATGTATATTTTATCTTTAATGGATTTAAGCTCGGTTTGACGTAAGGGAGTAAACTTTCCATAGGAACTGTCACTCCCAAAAACATGAGTTAAAAAAAATAGAGCAGCTTACTGACAAATGAATGATTTAAACCTAAATATTTTTAGGCCCAGATGAATTGATCAAGAGGTAACTATAAAGATAGGTTCATTTTGTGTGTGTGTGTGTGTGTGTGTGTGACCTCTTAGTGACCTAGAGGACTAATTTTTACAGTGGTTGGGCAACTTAAGGTCTGTGACACACCATGTACTTGGGAAAACACTACATTTACAGCCAAGGGTGTGGGATGCTGTGACATGTTTTCTGTACTGATCTCCTCATGAGGTCCAGTAATGCTTTCTTTCTTTCCTTGTCCCTTCATGGGGCAGGGCGACATGCTGCAGCCCTGAATTTTAACAGAATCGGAAGCTGGGCCGTGGTTGGGTGCTGTGACTGGGCGTTGACTCCTCGGCTCTTTGTTTTCTGTGGTTGAGCTGAGTCCCAGGATGTTAATCATGGGAGGTCAGGGTCGCCCTGGAGCTGCAGTCCTGAATGACAGGGGCAGTCCCGTGTCAGTCTCAGACGTCAGGCATCAGTTGCCCTTCCCACAGGAGACAGCCTGTTTCTTGGACTGCGTGATGGGAGTTTGTTAGTGTGGCCTTTGTGACACATTTGTCACTGAGGTAGACACCGTATTATTTACACCCTGAGGCTTCATTTGTATGGCGCGTGGCTTGCGCGGGCCATCACTCACCATGTAGACCGCTGTAAGGTATGGTATGAGGGAGCCGGAGCCCTTGGCGGAGGCATTGTGCTTAAAGGAGCTTGTAAAACACCCTGATGGCAGCCCTGCACACTTGTGGTGTTTGTTTTAACATCCCCACATTTCCTGGTAACTTCCTGCTGTGTTTCTGAAAATAGAATTTTAAGGAAAAGCTTTACAAAATCATACTCTATCACTGACAGAGCTTTTGAAAAATAATTAAACTTTTCCAAAATGTTGTCCACATCGTGTGGGTTTAGAGCATCAGAGTTCTGGTGGGGGTGTTTGGTGTCATCTGTGTTGGTGGCAGGCGGGGCCTTCTCTGTGTGTGAGTGGTGGGAATGGCTCTGTTGCTGGACTGTGTGTCCTCTGGACAATCGGCTGGCTTTGGAAGTTAACTGAGCTTGACTGTGTTCTTCTTAGTTTAAAGTTTTATTAACCGCCCCCCCCCCCCTTTTGTAAGGCTTTATCTACACCTAGACCAGTGATGGCGAACCTTTTGAGCTCGGCGTGTCAGCATTTTGAAAAACCCTAACTTAACTCTGGTGCCGTGTCACATATAGAAATTTTTTGATATTTGCAACCATAGTAAAACAAAGACTTATATTTTTGATATTTATTTTATATATTTAAATGCCATTTAACAAAGAAAAATCAACCAAAAAAATGAGTTCGTGTGTCACCTC